GTCGGTTGCTGCATATTCCAACAATGCTCGTTGATAGTTAAATGTGGCGAAGACATGTTGTCTGAAGATGCTGCTGAATCGAGACTCTCGGTCGCAATTGGATGTCGTCTAAGAGAATCATTTGGAAGCGCCTATCTGTGCACTGGGTCCAGATAATACATGTAGTTCTGTTCTGACATTCTAACGGGCTTCACCAATAGCTAATGTGCATACAATACACTGAATTCTTCGTATTCTATTCATCCTATACGAAATTTCATCCTACTGTGATACATTTTGTTGAACAATTTTAGAAAACCGACACTTGGCCTTGTGGCTTGTGGGCGGTGTCATTCACAAAAATAAAGAATCCCGCCCAATTTTGTGAGTAAAAGCTGGAGTATTCTTCTTTAATAGAACTTTCGAAAATGGCTTCAACTCAAATTGTATATTCGTGAAGAACTGGTGTAAATCCCGTACCGGTCTCGCCAACTTAATTTCTGATAACCAATAAAATCCAAGAACCAAAATATACACCGGATTATGTTTTTCTGAATCAGAGGATTCGTGACACCGGTGCGCACAGTCTTAGTATTTACACAGCACTGACAGCAGTAAATAAGACCCAGGTCGTTCCCAGGGACCACAATACTGGGACTGGGGGGGACTGGGGGGGAGTGGGGGTCCCAATTATTTTTCTAATCGCCCAGAATCGATATTCGGCTAAACTTTTGGTGCGGACCTTGAAAAAAAATTGTTCAGCCAAAATATCGTTTTACAATCCGGGGCTTTTGGAGCGATGTATTGGCTATAACGCGCGATTCTAAAGGTGAAAACCGAAAAACTCGACGATTTTGACCTTCATTCCTCGGCCTTTCGATCCCAATGTCTGTCAAAATTTTATGAGTTAAAATATTTTCATACTGTGTATGCTGCCGAAAAAGTCCATTTTACCTCTCTCGAGAGTGTAATAATCATCATTTTACCTATGTATTTTTATATAATATATAAAACATATCCTGAATGTCGTTTTTGGAAACTCATCGGTTTTGGCATTATCCTGATCTAAAGCCAAAAGCAACCGTTCATTTTGGAAAAAAAATGAACGGCTAGTTTTGGAAAGATTTAGGTTTGAAATCAGGGGTTAATCGATCTGGCTGGTTCTGGGTGGAAATCATGTGATGAAAGACTGGTTCTTACTCACTCCCCTATGCACAAAGAGGCAAAATATAAATAAAATGTCGTTTTTTTATGGGAGAGCCCGGACGGGAGAGGCTATGATAAAATCACAGGCTTTTATGATTCAAAAATATTACTACATAAGGATGTGAATGTTGCTGGGACGGCGGGACAATTGTTATTGTACTACAATAAAAATGTATTTATTTTTTTATTGAACCTCAGTTTGTTTCTTGTTGTTTTAACTCGAACATATGTTTGATATATATGTGTATTTTTTTTAATAAATAGAAGCATAAACATTTTTTAAAAATAAGCCGTTTCTTTTACGTCAACGATAACGTTTACGCTATTTGAAACACTTTCGTGTATATTTTCAATTGTTTTTTTTAAAACAAATAGATTCTCAAGTGAGCAGATTTCTAACGTTGAAATGTATAAAACAATATGTTAGAATTTACGTTCAACGTTTACTGCATTGGTCAAAAAAAAGTTTTACACAGCTGACACTAACCTGTTTCGTGTACAAATAGTGTACACATACACACACACTTGTACCTGTGCATACATAGTTACATACACTTAATCGGGAGATGCCGACTAAGGAAAGCACTGTGAGTCTGAATCTGGATAGGTCTACCGAATCGGGTGGCCACCTAGCAGAGGAAAACGACACTGCAACTGACCTGAAAATGGCGTCAGAAACAGATTTAGAGGAGGGCATGACGCGCAACGAATCGATGCGCAGTCGACAGCCGTGTATGTCTAATGCACTAATGTGTGCGCTTACGTGTACGTCGACTTGGAAAGCGTATAATACAAAGACGTTAGTATATAGCATACATAGACTTGTACGTTGATACGTATATATGGTCGCCGTTCACATATCGAGTATATCCCTACATACACCAGCACTATATCTTTGCATAAGTATACAACTTGGCTTTTTAATCGTAATTGCTCGGGCCCTGATGGTAAAATTCGTGTACAATATTTAATATAGTATGTTGTTTCGCCTCGGCACACTTCTTGATGGTTCTGATCAATATCTTTGGCCAGACCTATCAACACCGATATAAGCAATCACGTCAGCAAGTATACAGAAAGAAAACTACTATAAATATGCACATATACCTTCAAGCATATCATGCACACACTCTCGGTCGAATCATTTGATATGGTTGAACATGTAGTTCGTGTTTCACAGCTCTGTAAAATGAGCGGAGAGTTTACACTGTACGTTGTTGCGCATTGGTCTGAAACTCAGAGTCGGTTGGTTTGAATAGAGCACACAATCACACATGCACGTTATATATCCGTTAGCAAATGTTCTGTAATTTTCACATGTTGTGCATATAATATGAGCTCAAGTATGCATATGCACTTCGTAGCTGCCGCCCAGGACTATATTAAATCTCTCACAAATGGTTGCATTGCACGATAGACTAGTTCATATCCAATCAATACAAGCACGCACGCCAGCTTGGTCGTTGGTGCATTAGTATTTAATTTTTATCGCCTCCGCATATGCATATAGGAATTAAATTTAACTTGTACTATCTATATACACTCATGGACCATATGAAGGGCCGACACGCAGCTACTGTACTGTGTCCAAATTAAGCGTAGAATACATCTGACGAGCTGAGCTATAGCACTAAAATGTTCGTACTGCGTTTTAATATACTTCAGACTTTAGTACTAAAAGGTTCGTACTATGTTTCAGTATACTTCAGACTACAGTCTAAAAGGTTTGTACTACTTTAAATATGCTTCAGACTATAACTAGAAACTTGTACTACATTTTGATGTACTTTAGACTAGAGTACTGGAAGATTCGTAATCAGTAGATTCCCTTCCTACATGTACTATTCACACAGCTATGCACCATATAAAAGACGAGCGTATGTCCACCAAAGTGGGGCAAGGTGTCAAGTTCAACATCACGTTCGAAGATCTGAGCTATGGCGTGTACCTCCCTAAGCAGAAGGAGCCCAAATGGTTGCTTAAGAATGTGACCGGAGCAATCAACCCAAAGCAAATGACAGCTCTAATGGGACCATCAGGTGTGTGTGCATTGGAGATCAGGTAATGAGCACAGAGTATTGATATCTACGTGTGGCGGTTGTTGAATAGATATGTGTACCTTGCTGTAGCTTATGATTGTAATTATGTACCGTCGCGCTTGACGGAAATGCTTCAAGTATGAAGAATAAGTTCGATTTGAGTTACACATTGACATTCAACTTTTGATAGGCTTCTCTTCTGTATGCGATTACGTCAGCGCTATCTACCATAGTGATCGACCGATTTTTTTGATTGTGTGTGATCATGATAGAACGGTTTAGAAGACTCGTTTGCAGGCTTTCAGATCCCAACGGTACTACTTATGTTACTCACTACGGCTTTTCCTCTGTGAGTCCACAGCAACTATATTCGTGCATATCAGTGATCGAGCTTTCTGTTGTATGTGACCACAGGGGCCGGTAAATCTACTCTACTAGAAGTCTTGGCTGGTAGGAAGCAAGATGGAGAGATAGAAGGAGAGTTGCTGTTTAACGGAAAAGAACGAACGAGAGCCATGAAACGGTGGTTCGGCTTTGTCGAACAGCGCGATAGTCTGATTGCCACAATGACGGTACGTAACTGTTGAGTGTACTGGCCAACGATTCATACTATTTAATGTCTTCTAAGTTGTTAATATATGTATATTTACATATATATATATATATATATACTGGCCCTGTGATTTCTCTCTGTACGGAAGTATGTAATGACAAATATGTAGGTATTTACCCGATAGCACCTTTTAGAAATAGATCATTGACATGTGTACTCTAGGTGATAGTATTCGCAGGTGTTCATGCCTGAGCTTCTTTGAGAGGTATGATATTATTAGGCCCGATCCGTGCAGTCGTGCATTCATTTGTGGGTATATCTAGGTTGGCTGTGTGAGAACTTCAGGTCTGTTCCATTCCATTGTTCACATTTTGTTTAGTATGCAGAGGATGAGTAGTGTGAGTTCTTGAAGACTCCAACGTTGTATGTACCTATCTATCTCGTTAGTGCTACTTGACGTGGTTTTCAAGTGTGCCGATTGGACGTTACAGTACAATGAGATATAAAAACGTCTTATTTCTGGCATACCTATAGTACCTATTCTTTTTGCTGAAATACTAGTTTAAGCTTTAACATTATTATAGCCAAGTTCTGAGCGCATGGTTCTATCGTTATATATATGTACGTATATTACATGCGTATTGATAGGTTCTTGAATTCTCGATTTGTGATGGCATATTAGCAATATATTATTTTATTTCTTGTCCCATTTCCATTCTGAAATGTTTGCCCTATAATCAGGTGCGAGAAACACTGATGTATACAGCACGGTTGCGCATAAAAGCCAACGGCATTTGGGATAAAGAAGATCATGCGGATCAAGTTGAGAGGTGAGCAATTGTTTTTTAGGCTGTGTTTGTACCTTGTTCCCCAAATTGTTTAATATGCGTGCAAAAAAACGAAGAAAGTGAATATTTGAAACGTAAATATAAGACTCAAATTCCCGTGAGTAGATGGTGTCGCGTATGTACATCCTTTGTACTGGTACCGGGCTGGCTATATGTTGTATGTGTGTGTGCATGTGTATACGTTCATGTATGAGATATTCGCCACCATAGTAATCGGCATGATTATCCCCTCCCTGATCTCTCAGTACAGCGCTGTTGAATCTCTTGATACGTTTGGGTACCAAGTATACAGCGGAATTTGTATTGGTAATTCCAGAGTGTTCATCGACCTAAGAAGCATTGTATTATCCTGACGATATTCTTGCGTAGTGATAAATTCTATTCTTAACAAACAAACAGAACTACGGGCATACCATTTACGTCTCTAATCAGTCCATTATTATCGCAGAGTGGATGAGATATTGGACATGCTGGGTCTGACTGCGTGTGCGGATGTAGTGATTGGTGATGAGAACAACAGAGGGGTTTCCGGTGGCCAGGCAAAACGGGCCAATGCGGCGATGGAGTTGATTACGTCACCGTCCATTCTATTTTTAGACGAGCCCACATCTGGGTTGGATTCTGCTACCTCATTGGATTTTATCAGGTGCGTGTGTATTTCTTTGACTTTTTTAGTTGTATATTACTTAGATATACCTTGTCCGGTAAGGCGCCTGCGTACCTGAATGTTTTCTTATTGTACGCTATTAAGTGTGGGCTTGCACGCCTTCTTTTCAAATTGACGGTACATATTGTATAACTTCATTCACAATACACATGCGTACGTGTACCGAACCGACCACAGCAAGCAAGAGCTGGGAGTATCATGTGCACGATCCATCTGTGGGTTATAGTAATGATCTGTTGCAGAAACCCTCCAACCCCAGGTGTATCAAAGACATCGCAGCCAGGGGCGTGAGTGTCATCTGTACCATCCATCAGCCCTCAGAAGAAGTATACGGACTATTCGACCGTTTATTGCTGCTTGTTGCGGGTGAGGTTGTATACCTGGGAAAAGCTAATATGGCGGTCTCCTACTTCCAGGTACTTAAACCGTATAGATATCCGTGAATACATGCTCGCATTTATACTTATACTTTATATATATAAATATATATATATGCGTGTGTGTATGTATGTATGTATCTATCTATAAAGAAGTATATATATATATGTTTGTATGTATATGTGTATATATTGTATGTTTGTATGTATCTATGTCTGTATCTATATATATGTGTGTGTGTGTATGTATATGTATATGTATATACATATATATATATATATATACATGTACGTGAACCAAATACTTTGAGAGACACATGTACCTGTATACTTATATATATATATTATTTATATATATATACT